GAATGCTCCGATGCTTGGGGATGCTCCAATCCCTACCAACCCAGAGCGATCGGAGGGCAGCAGTGCCCATCCCTCCCGTCTGGCCCTGGCCGTACCAGGCAGTCCACTTTGGTGATGTGTTTGGCCAGTGTCTTCACGTCCACCTCTGCCAACAGCTCTTTGACCTTCTTGAGCACGGTCATCTCCAGAGGTTTGTTCTCCAGGGGGATGAGCAGGGACTGGAAGGCAGCAGGGTTGAAGGAGGAGGTTGCTTCCATGGTGGGGGGCACAAAGCCCATGAAGTCCGGCTCTGCTTTCAGCCTCTGCCCTGCCTCTGCTTCCCCAGAGCTGTTCTCCACAGTCCCTCTCTGTCCTTCCTCCACCTTTAGCCTCTCCACATAACTCTTTGTTGGCAACTGCTTGGTGTCATGAGCTGGCCGGTCTCTGTTGATGGGTGAGGTGGGGTGCAGCTGGCAGTAGTGCCCCGTGTCCGGGTCGCTGTAGCTGTTCACGGAGGGAGAGGGGGAGGCACGGGCGTACCCATGGCAGGGAGTTGAATGGGAGCTGTGGGCAGGGTCTGGCAGAGGTTTGCTGTTGTTCCCATGGCACAGCTGGGGCTCACTGGACCTTCTTATGACTGGAGAGGCCGGGGAGATCCCAGCTGCTTGGCAGGCATGAGGCTTTAGTCGTGTAACTGTAGAGAGCAGAGGAGACACTTATCAGAGCCTGGAGATGTGCACGTGCATAGGGACCACGGAGGCAACAGCCTGGGGATGTGAAGCTCAGGGAAAACCACACTGCCCAAATGGGCTCAGCTGCTCTCAGGACAGCTGCACAATGATGTGGCTGAGCTCTGGTGAGGTCCTGTCCTCAGCTCAAGCCCTCCATTGGGACAGTTCTCTTTGCCATGCAAAGAGCTGTATGAGTTTCGCTAGCAGAGAGTGACACCAGGGCTTGTCTTTACAGCCAACTCCATCCCCATCCCCAGGTCCCTGCATCAGAGCCATGCCAGGCCCAGCCTGACCCACATCCCCCTGTCCCCAGGAGGATGGAGAGGTGGTGCCTACCTGTGCTGTAGGCGGGTGACGCTGGGTTCTCGGAGATGGGGGACATCGGGGAGTGCAGGTCCTGGATCTGATCCACACTGACGGCACAGTTGCGAATGATGTCTCTGTGGTGGGGCAGGGACACGCTGAGGAGGGGACAGATGGGGCAGGTTAGTCCCTGCAAACAGGGCCCAGGCAAGCACAGAAGGGCTGAGATAAGGGTGTGCTGCCCCATCACCTCCCCTTGGGTCATCACCTCCTTCCACAACTACCCATAAGGAGCTGAGCCTGTAACAAGCTCAGCTGGAGCAATGAGCAGCCAGTCCCTGCAGGCAGCTGGGAGCAGAAGGGGTCAGCAGTCATATAAAGCAGAGACAGCCCTGCCTGCAGGGAGTTTGGTCCTAGAGAGCAGAGGATTGGAGTGTGCAACAACACACCATGCTAAGGTACTTAGGATGGGATGGGTTGGGTCTGCTCCATTCCAGGGTGCTATGGTGAAATGGCTCTGGCCAAGGACTCATGGAGGGTAGTTTTCTAGGATTGTGCTGCAACGTGGTATCTAGTGCTGGGTGTGTTACTCTATTTCTACCTGAGAGCCATGTTGGGATGGTTAGGTGAACTGTTTTTCTGACCCAAAGCTTAGGGGAGCTGGAAAGGGTTTGGAAACTGGACTTGGCGAGTTGCTAATAAGCAAGGAGGTCTTGGGCTGGTGGGACAGGAGTGATGGCCTGATGCAAACACTTTGTCAAAGGTACTGCAAAAGATGCTGTGTCTGGGGCTGCTGAGTGCAAGGAGGGCTGCAAGGAGGCATGGCAGGTAATTCACTGCCCTCCCTGCCATGGGTGAGGGCTGTGCTGCTGTGGCGTGTTCAGTCTTGAGCACTGTGCCTCTGCAGTGGGAGGAGGATGGGACAGTAGTGGCAGTGACAGAGGGTTTGGGGGAAATGTGAGTGATGAGGAGAGACTGATGGATCTGGGCTCTTCTTCTGGAAACACATATGCACTCCTGGAAGTCTGAGTGTTTTCCTTTTCCCAGCCACAACAGTTGGTTGCCTGTTTTCTGCTGACCCTGCCCCTGGGCTGAGAAGGTCGGGGTGGAGACAAAGCTTGGTTCAATAACAGGCTGTGCCCTGCTGGGGAGGCAGGAGTAGATGGGTCCTCCCTTGGCTGCTGTGTTCGAGGATGTGTGTGTGTGGCCCTGCCTTCCTGCAGGGCTCTGGGCAGCCTGGGGCAGCCAAAAGCAAGCTATGCAAAGGAAGTCTCCTCTTCCACCTCTGGAGAAGCCCAGCTGCCCAAAGGTTTACATGAGCAGCTCAGCCAGGTGGATGTTGTGCTCCAGGGGCTGTGCAGACCCCACCAGCACACCCTTATCAGTTTCCTTCTGCCCATCAGGCTTTCAGCTCTGCTTGGTAACTCCTTGCAAATGCCAAACAGAAAGGGATCTGAAACTAAAAGGGCAGCTCGAAAACAAACAACGAATGCTTTCTTGGTGGCTGGGACTGACTCTCCTCTCACCCTTGCCTGGGAAAGCTCGTCTCCATGGCTCTAACAAGCCCTGACATGCTGGTAATCCTGGACTGAGTGATTGTAAAACACTCTCTGGCTTCTGGCCTGCAATGCTAAAGTCATGTCCGCTCGCTGGGCATCTGCTGTGGTAGCTCAGTGTGGTTGGCAGCCAGCCTGGGAGACAACCCTAGCTCCAGCTGAGTACCAGTCCTTCCCCCCATGCCTCCATTGGTCTCTCTCTTCCACCCCTGATCCCAACCCCCTGCCCTGCACCTGAGGAGCAGGAGCTGAGCATGGCCCTGACTCTTTACTGGGGCTGATCCTCTACTTAGCCATGACACCCTGGTGCTCACCTGGTCGGGCACCCCTCAGCCCTGGTGATTTTGTCTGCGGTCAGGCCGTCTGTCATGGTGATGCTCCTCCTCTTGATGTGCCCCCCTTTCTGGGTGGAGGGGCTGTGGGATCCCCCATGCTTCCCGTTGGCCAGCCCATAACTGGCCTCCAGGTAGCGCAGCGGGAAGGTGCGGTTGATGGGGCAGTAGACGATGGCTCCGCTCTGTTCGGAGATGGCCTTGCGGTTGCCCACGTAGAAGCGGACAAGGGCAGGCACGTTGTCAAAGCTCTCCTGCTCAAAGAGGTACTGGACACGGGTATGGCCATCACTGGACTTGACTGTCACCTTGTTGATCTTGAAATGGAGGGGCTCGTTGCGCCAGCGACACGTCAGCACGTAGTCACCCAGGCTGGTGAGTGAGTCGCGGATGAGGAAGTCACCATTCCTCTGCACGAGGCTCTCGGACACCTGGCAGGGAATAGGGCAACAGCTCATGCACAGCCACACTGGACAGGCCAAGGGACATGGATGGATGCTCCAGTGGGGTGTCATTTAGGGCGCTGACTGTTCCCCTTGCTCTGAGCTGTAGGACATGTCCCGCACCATGCAGCTCAGAGACAGAGAAACCCTCAGCCAGAGGCCTCCCAGGAAGACAAGTCAATGTTCTGTGTGGTCTTGGAGTGCTCTCCCACAACATTCCAAGCAAAGGGTGCCCAGAGCCACCCACCTTCCCCTCCTCACCTCCCGGGGGATGCGGCCGTGGTACCAAGCATGGCTGCGCAGGTCGGTGCTGCTCAGCTTCAGTTCCTCTTCTAGCTCCTTGTGAAGTTTCTCTGGTGATGAATCAAGGATGTATTTCTCCTTGGAGAACTGTACAAGGGAAAAGAGATTCTCAGCTGTTGCAGCAGTGCAGCGCCTAGGGAAGAAAGGGCTGGCAAGGTCCCCAGGGACTGTGGCAACTGCCAGGAGCAGACCTGTCCCCAAGGGTCAAGTAACTGTGTAAGAATCGCTGCTTGTGGCAAGGGATGTGGGTAATGTCCCTATTAATGGCCATGTCCTGACACCAGGAGCACCTGGAGGGTCTTCTGGAGGTATCCCCCCATCATCTCTGACCACCCTGTGCTTGGAGTGCTGCCCCTCTGCCCCAGCTCAGAGCTGAGTATGGTTGGGCAGGAGAAAACCTGCCCCAGCTCCCTGTCAAACATCTCCAGTGCTGAATCAGCCTAGGAAGCACTCTTCCAGGAGAAAATCTGCATTATTCCTCCTCCTTGAAACATCCACCATGGTTCCCCTTCCAAAGGGTTAACTCACTGTGTTCAGCCTGATGGTGGCATGAATAGTAATCACAAATGTAAAGGGAACCTACTGCATCAAAATTAGCTTTTACCGGCACTGGTGCACCTGAGCCTAGAGGATGCAATTTGCCCCTCCCTTCCCCCCAGAGATAAGGGATGGCGTCATGTCTCCTTGGCCGGAGCCTGCCTTGTTCCCTGCCTGCAGCTCGGCCTGCATTCCCAGAGGGAGCGTGGTGGAGCCAGTGGATGTCTGGATAGGTGAGCACAGGCTCGGGGTTCCTGTGTGCTCCACACATGAGGCTGGTTCTGCTGGTCAGCACAGCAGCTTTGAGATGAATCCTGCTGTGGTACCAGCAGTGCTGCATGGTGGAGCAGAGCCTGGGGGCCAAGACTCTCAGATGTGTGCTGTCCTGAGAGGGGGATGTGTGTGCCACTGTCACGGACTAAGGAGCTTGGATGGGGCTAGCAGTGTCCTGTTGCACTGCTCCCATGAGCAAGGGTGGCTTGCTGGCCTGGCTCACCTCTGGTGGTGGTGCCAGCGTGAGGAGGCACCGTGGGCTGGCCCAGCTCCTTGGTGCCTGTTGGGGCAGGATGCTGGTGACGTCTCAGAGGACAGGCATGGGCTTGAAGCCCTGCTGACACTGCTCTGGCACTACCAGAGGAACATTTCATTTGGGGCTGCAGCCCCATGCCAATGCACCAGGGACCTGCCATGGAGCTGATCCCTTTACCCAGCACTTCACCCTTTTGTGTCCCATATTTATTCCCTCTGCCCCTGTAGCGGTTTTGAGCAAGGGAAAGTGTAGAGCACTGTGCTGCTCTCCTGCCTTGTATCCACTGCTCTTGAGGTGCTCCTGGGGCTCTGCAGACATTTGGGGCTGCAGCCCCATGCCAATGCACCAGGGACCTGCCATGGAGCTGATCCCTTTACCCAGCACTTCACCCTTTTGTGTCCCATATTTATTCCCTCTGCCCCTGTAGCGGTTTTGAGCAAGGGAAAGTGTAGAGCACTGTGCTGCTCTCCTGCCTTGTATCCACTGCTCTTGAGGTGCTCCTGGGGCTCTGCAGAGTCCCTCAGCAGGACCCTGACCCCAGGTCCCCCCTTTCCCAGTGGAGATCATAGAATCAGATGGGTTGGAAGAGATCTCAAAGATCACTGAGTCCAATCCTACTGTCATTACTAGACCATGACACTAAGATCCTGACCTGAGGATCGTGCTCCAGCCTGAGGAGGGGGAAGGAGGCAGTGGCAAAAGGTCTGTGCAATGGACTGTGCTCCCCAGGACTTGCCCTCACCAGCCTGGATCTGCCCCTATTGCTCCTTTCCCAACTCCTGTTGAGTCAAAAGGTGCTGGGAGAGTACAAGCAGCCTATGAAAACTGTGTGGATTGAACTCAGACTCCCTCATCTGACCCTGTGTTTCCCTCTCTGTGAGGCTCCCATTGAGTGGAACTGCAGGGACACACGGATTGTCCCCACCTGACCGAGGGCTGCAGGGAGCTGAGCGCTCAGTGCTGCTCTGGGCCCTCCAGGAGACAAAGCCACCCAGTGCTGCTGAGCCCTGTTAAAAATAAATGGTAGCTGGTGGAGGCTGCGAGGTCCTGCTGCCTCCTGGGGGGCCTGGGGAGCAGATGCCGTTTCCATGACGACAAATCCATTGCCACCGAGCAGACCTGGCTTGACCGAGCGCTGGTGGGGGACCCTTGGCTGCAGCACCCTCCTTGTGGCATGGCTCGCCCCAAACTCTGGGGCAGGGAAGGACTCCCTGGGAGGCTCTCCTGCCTGTGTAGGCAAAAGCCATCAGAGCTGAGCTGTGAGTGGCTTGGAGACAGTTCTCCCCCCATCACCCCTGGAGCAGGGATTAGTGGCTGTTCTGCTCAGCATTGTACATCTAGGTTTTCCCCCAAATCCTCCCCATGCAAATGCGCAGGATAACAAACACAAACCCAGCTGAGCAGTGCCCTGCGTCTCCAAGCCCAGATTTGGGCAGCAGCCGGCTTGGCGTCCATGCCAGGAGCCACGAGCTAAGCCAGCAGAAGAGAAGAGGAGGTCTGGGAGAGGCAAGGAAGGTTTTGCATCTTGCAGATGTAGAGGGAGCCCAGTTGTGAGCAGAGGGTGCCAGGAGCCACCTTCTCCAGCCAGGTGGAGAGCACTGTCCCTTTGGCTCCTCGGCTGGGCAGTGAGCTCCATCTGACCTGCAAGGCCACCAAAAAGCCACTCCTTGGAGCGACTGTAAGGTTATAATGCCCAGGGAGGCAGCACGAGCCTGATCATGGAGAGCCCTTTTCCTTGTGTGACACGACTCTGGGGACTGCTCCTCATTTCAAGTCTATTGCACTATTCCAACACCAAAATCTGCCAAAATCACCCGTCTGCTCCTCTTTCT